TTCTCGGGCCGGGAATTTAAAATCGCCTCCGGCACCGGGACGCGAACTCGTACTTTTTAATCTCTCATATCTTCGGTTATCTAGTTGCCGAGCAGCTCGCGGTGCTGTGCAAACGGGTTAGCTCATTCGGCCACCCTTTTTTCCCTTTTCCCTCTTCTTCTTTTTCTTTTCCCTGTTCTCTCCCCCCTCTTACCTTTATTTTTTAGGCTATACGGGGTTTTCCCGGGCCTGGGGGTGAGGGTGGGGAATTTTAAATCCCCTCCGGCACCGGGACGCGAACTCGTGGTTTATTTTATCTCACAACTTGGGTTATCTGGTTACCGGCAACTCGCGGTGCTGTGCACACGCGTTAGCCCATTCGGCCACCCCGCCCCATTCACACATAACAACAAGCTATTGAGGTTGCCGAATCTTTGCCACGAGCTGTCCATGTTTTTTTGAGGCTCAAGGAATGCTTTGAACTGTTGACCTCCCCCCTCCTCCCATAATGGTAAAATATAACCGCGTCTTATGAAAAAAATATTAAAAAATTATCTCTAAAAGTGTTATTGCTCATGTAATTACATTTAATAAGACTTCAAGAATCACTTAAATACCATCTCATATGGTTAGTTAGCATCTTTCTTTTTCTTCCGAAGTAATAATCGTAATATATAAATATATTCAAAAACTTTAATAAATATCAAGCAAGAACTTGTTTTGATTAGATCGAGTACGGATTTGAAGCAACACAAAATTGGGTTGTAAAAACATCAACAAATTTAGAAAAGCCACGGTATGTTATTATCGCATTCCAGACTGATCGAACGAGAAACGCTACCAAAGATAACGGTCAGTTTGACAGCTCTATATTGAAAAATTTGAAACTTTACCTGAATAGTGAACAATATCCTTGTGACGTTTTGAATTTAGATTTCTCACACGCAAAAGTGGCTCTCCTTTACGAAATGCATATCGAGCTTCAAACGAGTTATTATGGTAATCGATATTCTCAGACTCAGGTGTCACGATCCGATTTTGAGACAGTCGCCAACAGTTGTTATATTTTGTTCTAAGCAATCTGAAACTATAAAAACTACGACTATTGATACTCGGGCACAACTAGAGGCAAGAAAGAACTTTCCGCCAAATACTAAGGCATGCGGTCTCATTCTTCATGATAAAATTGTAGAATATGAAGTGAGAATGGGTTTGGTCCGTAAGATGTACTGATATTATGCACATGTATAAAACCATTACATTGAACGCAATAATGTCATTTCACCGTAGGATTTCGACTAAACTATAAGAAGCATTCAGCAGTCATTGATTTTCAGAGCTATCGTACCGCTTGTAACTCATTAATCGTTAAAGAACTATCTGTCATCTCTATCAGCCACGGTTCATCGTAGCATTAGTTTTTTAAGCAACCTCAATACACTAGAGACGTGGGACAGTCGATAACAAACCTTTGGGTTAAAAAACATATATGGATTGGAATGGAACTATGGTGATGTGCCATATGAGGATATGAAGTATTCCTTACTATACGTTACAAACGATTATGTGGAAAAGGAATGGAAAATTGCAAGTTTATAGAACTCATTGATAAACCAAAAAAAACAAAAAAAAAACAGAAAACGAAATGATCTTCATGATTTCGGCTATCCAAACTTGAAAGAGTTAGATAATGACAAGATAGCTTGTCATTTTTATTTAAACAATTCCTTTTTTAATTAAATCAATCTCATAGTAGGCTGTATGCGTCAGAAAAAAGTCTTAAGCTGTAAATTTTAAAAAAGAACAGATACAAAAGCAAAAATTTAGAATCACTGACTCACCTCGTGATCTACATTTGCTGGATTTGTACGAGGAGTCAAGGATAGCATTAAATGTGCATAGTTCGGACTGGTATTTGACATAAAATCACTAATCAACCAACCCAAGTATCATAAAAGCAAATAGTCCACAATGTTTGTTATTTGAGGATGAGTATTTTATGTGTCATATAATGGTAATTGTTTAATGTGGTATATTAGTGATATTGTATATGGCTCGTGTTATGATAAGGGAGAAAAAAATAATATGTTTATATAATATTGGAATAATGGAATGTATGAGCTATGTACATATGGATTGATCAGTATGCTGTATATAAAGCAACCCTATGTAGTAGGGCAGCATTACTTTCAATAAAGCATTTCTCCTTACTACTAGAGAAAAAAACTTGTATCAGTACAATGATGGATAGAATGGAGTCAGCGAAACGTCTTGACTAATGACTTAACCGGACTTGTAAATGGACCCTTCAACGACGAACGGGTATGTGATGCGGTGGGTCAATAAACCCAAACATACCTAATGATACACATCTGCCTGGCGTTGACTCTTCTGCTGGGCGGCGTTGCATCATCTTGCATCTACAGTGTCATGACCAACCCAAGGACACCCCCCTCATGCAAAAAAGGACGCTCACTCGCCCCTATTGCACCCCCCCCCCCGTCTCCCGACAAGGACGGTCGATGAACTCAACCTTTGTGCTCTTGTTCAAACCGGGGTTATGTACTACTACGTATGTATGGGCATTATGTTCCCTGGCGAGGCTATAAACCAATGTATGAGTGTTGTGGCCAATGGCGAGGCTAAAAAGTCCCTCAAAAAAAGTTGTAAAGATCCTCTCGATGCATCTTCACCTTGACGTGGTGAGCGGACTTAAAGATGTAAGCTGAATGAAGAGAGGTGCACATAATTATTAAAATATACATAGATAATTTTTTTAAGTAGAATGTTCCTTATAAAAATAAAACATTTTTAAAAAAGAAAAATAATTCATCTCGTGATGTCTAAATCCATTGAAAATTCTACAAATGTAACAAATAACATGCAGCATTAGACTCCGCTTGTCGACTGGTTGGTCTGTAGATTATTAATATACAGAGCATTCTTTGAAGTCATTAATACAATGTTCAAAGGCTACAATTTTTGAACGATTTAAAGTGAATAAAACGGATAGAATATTTGAAGGGGAAAGGTCCCCGCCGTATTGCAATAAAGCACAAGGATCGGCTTTTTAAATCTACTTACGTTGTGAGAGGAAATATTGGAACCAACAGATGGAACTATTGGAGAAGGACAATTATTTTAGTTTATTGAAAAGGATGGAATGGTTGATGGAATTGAAGGCTTTGGAGAAGTCAAGAATTATAAGGACAGTTAATTTTTTATCATCTATCGCTGTCTGAATATCAATGGTAATTTTAATTAAGTTTTCTTAAGTCTTCGTCTTTCTCTGCTCCTCTCATCTTCCCGGCTTGCCTGTTCGTCCAGCTCCTTCTCTGCCTGCGGATTTTTCTGTAGAATCACTCTATGGTTCACTCCTCCTCGACTGCATATTTCTTCTTCTCAACTTCTGAGCGTTCATCTCCATCGGCTCCCCTCGTGGTAAGTCTCTTCTTGGGTACATATAGAGACATTGTCTCGCAATGTGCCCGCTCTTCCCACGACCGTGGAATCTCCTGTCTTCTCTGCCTTGACCTGGTTTTCGTTCTACTCCTATAGGTTTCTTCCTACCGCTGTATGCCGTCTCTCTCCTTTTCCAGGCCATTGATGTAATTCTAGGCCTCTTATAGATTATTTTATTCCACCCTGGTTTCTCCACTTCTAAACTGATATCCTCCTCCCTTGCGCTGGAATCTACCATCTCCTGGACATATTCAATAAATGAGTGTTCCCTGGGTAGGACTTCCCTCTTCCCGGTTTCTTTAGCCAGTTATACCTTGAGGATTGTTGCCAAGAAACCCATCTTGGCTTCAGAGAAAAGAGCTTGACCTCAGGAACGCTTACTATTACGTAATCGTTATCACATCTTCTCTGTAATGCGGTTATAATGGGCTTAATGTGTTCCAGCATACTGTCCGCCTGACTGCCGCGGATGTTTCAACTCCCGGAACATTTGAAAAACGTCTTCTTCTGTAATTCCACCTGCCGCCTCCGCACGCCTTCTTCAGCCTCTCTTTGACTACTTACCACACGGTGTCTGTTTGTTCGCCTGGATGTTGTTTAGTATGCTTCTCTTGACCCTTCACACTTGAGTCGTTTTAATTAAGGGCCTCCGCACCTGCTGCTTTGACAAACGTTTAGTGTCTATTCTTGCGATCAGACGGATCCCCACCTTTTAAGAAATGATTCAATTCACCACCAGTTTCTCCTGTGAAGCGCTCGAGATCAGATATCGCCTTCCTCAGGTCCTGTGAAGTGGTCAACCAGAACTTCATCCATTCTATCGCTTTTGCGTGTGACGCGGCTAACATTCCCTGGCGTAACGGAGGGATTTCCGGTACGTTCAGAGTAGCCGCCGACCTCAGCACCACACCTTCAGGCATATTTGTGAATTCCTATCTGACCAAAAAAGAAATGTAGCCCCTCACACTCTTCGCCCCGGGTTTCGGCACCAGTTAAGCGTTGACTTAAAACATTTTAAAAAAAGGAAGAGGTTCACGAAATGAAACACACGAAGTCGAAATCAAGACTGCTTTATTGTTTCCTCTTATTCTCTTTATGTACATTCTGAGAATCTTTACATCTTTGATTTGGTATTAACGCTAATACTGTCTCACTTCGTAACTTAAATTAATGTGTACCAGTGAGAAATGTGAGAGCGTCAGGGACTGGGAAACTAAAAAAAAAATCTCATGAAAAAAATCATCATTATTTTCAGGAAGGCATTAAATATTGCGACAAAGTCTCTTCGAGTCTTTTTCGAAATGGACTGGACAAATTGGTTCAAGGAATTGAGTGAAGTTGATATTTGCCTCTGTAATAATTATCCTATGTTCGATTTGATTATTGTTGTAAACTTCAAAATTTTAATTTAATTTTTAGTATGATTTCACTTATTGGTAGGAATATTTTCTAAAAATAAAGAAATCCGGATTGACACTACAAAGTACTTTCAGATTGCCATAATTTTGTGGTTCTCTTTGGAATTTCTCTTTAGATATTTTCATAGCAATTGAGGTTATCTTTGCCAAAGTGGTTATTTGGATTTAAACTGGTGTTATCGTTTGGCTCTCTCTTTGATTCAGTGCTGAGCAGCTGGTTTAAAAAGGTCTTTAAACTCTTGGTTTGTCTTATTTATCCAAAAGCTCGTTTTTTTTTAATGTACAATATGCTGAAGCCTAAATTTCGTTCCAAGTACAAATTGAAACTACATTGTATCCTCCCTAGAAATTAAAGGTATGTATTTTTTAAATAGTTAGTATATGTTAGTTTCGAGTTATTAAGTAATACCATGACTCAAATTTTCTACTTTTGGCTTATCAATAAATAATTACATTAAATAATAAAATATTAGCAATGGGTGTTACTCAGTATTTCTTGTATTGTGTTAATTTATCAAAAATAGCAAATATTCTTACTACCTGTACTGAGGATATATTTATATTTATCACATGCCTTGACTTTCGGCTTGCACTCTTAATCTTCTGTGTACACTTCTAAAATTTATAGCCCATTTCCCAACGATAAAATTGAGTATTTATTCTTGGTGTAGCCATTGAATTTCCTGTCTAACTGTTTGTAGGCAGTCGTTTTAAGTTGATTATGTAGGTAAAATGGAATTTTTTCCCTTCAAAAGCTCAATGACTCTATGCCAGTGTAAATTTGTTTAGCTTTACCAAAATTAGGATGGGACCTAGGTGCCCCACTCAAACTCCACTGCCCCACTCAGGGGTTCCATCCTTTTTTTATCAGTGGGAACAATTATAGGCTATGTGTTAGTTGGTGGGTACCGTGTTTTTATTCCTTGTGGATTGCGGAAAGGTTACTGTTTACAATATTTAAAAAGTAACTTTGAAGTTTATTAATAAAAAGAAATACATATGTACTGCAACAAACATCTTTATTATTTTCAAAACTAATGAAACATATTTCTACACAAAAGGCAAAAAAATACTAAGTTCAATGAATATTATTAATTTTATAAAGGGTTTTTATAATAGATTAACACATTTATAAATTAGAATTAAAAGTTATAACTAAATTAGAAGCTGTGTGGGTTATAACTAGGTATAAACAAATTTAATGCGGTGTTACCAACAGTGCCATTCATTTTTTTTAATACCAAAGACAGATATTAAATAAAATGATAGTTATGATATATTGATAAATGAATTTTTATTTTCAAATAATTCGTTTATACTTTTAAATTTAAAATCTTGTTAGATTTTTAAATATACTGATATTTCTGAAAAAAATTGTAAAATATTTGAATTGAAAATTCGCCTATCTACATAATGCCATGTAAAACAATAATGATCAGTATATCAAATAAATATTCAATATTTTATTGAAAATTCGTTGATTTGCATCAGGCAAAAGCAAAACTGTTGCCAAGGGAATCACCAATCTTTATCGGAAGGAGGGTTTTTCATGTTGACACCCTATGTTTCCTCTTATTTCAAGGGTTAGGGTTAGTTAATGTTATGGTTATGCTACTAATAAATTTTTAAACATTGTTTTTTATCATTTTAACAATTACTGTCTATGTTATGTTAGAGATAGGCGGGCACAAGTTTGCTCGAGGGCATCAGTTGTCACGCTGTTACAGTGTTGCCCGTGAGCTCTAGTTTGGGAACCTCTGCTCTAAGGCCAAATTTATATATTTCTCCAGGACTAAGAAATTACTGTACTGTTCTTGTTTCTGTCCTTGGAATTTGCGACTGTTTGAACTCCTCAGCATTTTTTTTTCTTACAAAATTATTTGATAAGTCTTTTGTCTTTTGATTTAATAACATCACCACACAGAAATTGATAAATTAAATGTAAAATAACTGAACACCCAAATACCAGACTGGCTCATGAACACCTGTTTTAATAACTGTGAGGAAGGGTGGCCTGTAATATTGTACAACTTTTTTTTATCTCAGCGCCATTCGTCAGGTAGCATTTTGCCTTATATATACCAGATAAAAAGTTGAAGAACTTCAGCTACCAGTCGTGGATATAGTGTTTGGATTATGGTTATTATAAGACTAGTTATGGTTATGTTACAAACAAATTTTTAAACATTGTTTTTTATTATTTTAAAAATTACTGTCTATACATTGAGGTTATTAAAAAATTACTATTTGTTAATATAGAACCAAAAAATTCTGGAAACACTAAAATTCTGTTTTTGTTTAAAAAAATGTTTGATAAAAATTGGACGCATGACTGTCTTGTTTATTAACTTTAAGGCTCCTACATGCAGAGCACGAAATGTCCAGCTGATACCCCACCTCTATGTTGTTATTCCTGTGGCTTATTGTGCTCTGTGTAACTGCTATACTTCAATATATAGTAAATAAATAATAAAAGGCTTAGCGAACCCGAAGGTTTGATGCCGATACCACCAATCGCTTATTACACACCTCCCTCCACCGTTCGCCGTCCAAACCCAGTCCCTTCAGATCGGCTTTAATGCAATCTTCCCACCTTCGCTGCGGTCTACCCCTCGGGCGTTTACCATTCGGTACAGCAAATATTAACCTTTTAGGAATTCTCTCGTTACTAAGCCCAACAATTTTACAAGCCCATTTGATTTGCCGCGATGAAATTACCTCAATTATATTACCCGGATACAGTTCACACAATTCGCCATTGTGTTAGTCTAGTTTTAGTCTGAACTCTCCGGTTAACTCATTCTTCTTTGGTCCGAATATTCTACGCAATACTTTATTTTCAAAAACCTTAACTTAAAGCGCTGCTCATCCCTTAGTGTAAGCGGCCAAGTTTCGCATCCATGATGAACTGTAGGTAAGATAATGGTTTTATATATTGTAATTTTTAAGTTCCGGGACAAGAGGCGCAAGCTAAATAGTTTTGTCACAGAAAAATAACAAGAATTTCCCGCCTTCAGTCTAACCTTAATCTCTTCTTCGATTTCGTTTTTTCTAGTTATCGTAGAACCTAGATACCTAAACTTCCCTACCTGTTCAAACATATTACCATCTATATTGATATCACCAGTAGTATCGCCATTTTTGCTGCTAACCATATATTTTGTTTTATCCGCGCTTTCATTAACGTTGTTGTATTTAGTTTTATAGTTTTCATGTCTTTGCTTAACAGTACTAGATCATCAGCACAGATGTTGTCCCACCCAGATCCAACCCTTTTATGATTTTCCTCCCTAATGGCATGTTCTAATGCCAAATTGAACAGGACAGGCTAAAGGGAATCCCCTTGTTTTAAAACCGAAGCTTTTAATTTAGCGGCTTTTCTTTTTTTGCACATGTTTAAGCAATTTTCATCAAACCACGGTTTCTTATTCTTATTTTCCTTTTTTCCTAGACACGAGTTACCGACTGCTTTAATATTGTCCCTGATCTCTACCCATAACTTGTCAATATCCTCGTGGTCCTCGTCAGAAAGCTCCAAAGCTTTAAACCTATTCTGAACATCTGGCTTAAATTGGGTTCTAATTGATAGTTTTTTTAATTTTTCCAAATTAAAATTCTCAAAATCGAAACGGTTTTATTTTCTCTTTTTTATATTAAGTTTTTGTTAATGTTTCGCGATTACTAATTCATGATCCGATCCACATTCTGCTCTGCGATAAAACTGTACATTAATTATACTGCTTTGCCAGCTTGTTGTATCAAGACATGATCGATTTGATTTCGTGTTTGCGAATCCAGTGATGTCCAAGTATATTTATGAATATCCTCATATCGTTTATGTTTAAACGTAGTACTTTTAATTATCAAGTTTTTCGAGATGGCAAAGTTTATCAGACGGATCCCATTCTCATTACTATATTTGTGCAAACTTTCTTTACCAATCGTCAGAACATAAACTTCTTCCCTTCCCACCTTTGCGTTTGCGTCACCTACAATTATTTTCATGTATTTTTGCGGTAGTTTATCATAAACCCATTCGAGTTTACCATAAAATTCACTTTTGACTTCATCGTCACTGTCTTCGGTCGGACAATGTATGTTTATTAATGCGATTTTAAACCAACGTCCCTGAAATATAGCTACCGAAATTTTATCACTAAAGAATTGTACGTCCCTCAAAGCGGATAGCAATCTATTTCTAATTAGAAACCCGGTACCTAAACAATGATTCCCGCTTCCTCCGTACCAAATAGTGTATTTTCCTTCCCTCATCACGCCCTCCCGTGGCCAGCGAACCTCATGCAGAGCCACGACATCCAAATTGTACCCATTAACCTCATTCGTGACTGATTTTAACCCCCCTGCTGTTTTTTAAACTCCTTACATTCCACGTACCAATGTTTAAATCCCTATTTTTCAACTTGCGCCATAAATCCCCTAAAGCAATATCGACCCGGAGACCTGAACGGGGGACTAGTTTACCTCCGGATAATGAGCGATTTACCTTAGGGAGGTCCATAACTATTTGTGGTGTATGGTGAACTAAAGATATGTGAGTATGGCATTCAAATCCTACATCACACCCTCCAGCAAGTCTGGTGGGTACTGCCTCCAGCAAGTCTGGAGGGCCCCTCTCATTGTTGGTTGGTCAGCAAGTCCATCAGACTTAGCTGGAAGGAATTTCCAACGACCATCCCCACATTCGCTACCTGTGGGACCCTCCCCATACGTGGTAATGAGCCCGTGTGAGGTCAGTATATAGTAATACAACTATATCGCATATTGTCACTGACAGGAATTTCATATCGCCAAGACATATCACACCCTGTGTGTAGAAGCCTTTATTGCCAATCCAGCTATTCTATTGTGAAGACTGTTTCTAAATACCTCTCAGCAAGTAGAAGAAAACCAGGTAAGGAGCAGATTAAAAAGATCGACCCTTTCGAAAGTAATTTAAATCTCTCAAGAAAGAACTTACCCAAAATCTGTGGTTCATATTAACCCAAAACAACTAGTAAAGGGTTATAAATCTGCTAAAAAAATTTACATGAAAATAACTAATTGTTGTACATAGTAAATACTAAATAAATGAAAATTTATTGATAAGCAATAACTTTTTCACTTGCCATCATTTGTGAATTGTAACAAGTTTTATTTGCATTTTCAATCTTTTCAGGTAATGAATTTACCACCATATATATCTCGAACTCCACCTCCTTTAAATGAAACAGAGGATGATGAAGATGAAGAGTTTGGAACATTTGCTGTCTGCAGTGACTTAGGTTTGAAAATTTTATGTATTAAAAAACAAAAAATTCACATATAACCATGCCTGGTAAAAAAAAAAAAATTGTTCCACTACAACCCATGAAGAGTCTTTGTTTCAGTACGTTGTGTGTATGTTACTGAAAGTACTGTTTCAAAGACAACGGTTGTGTAAGGAGGTGATCGGGCTAGGATCACGCTCAACCACCAGGTTTTCCTCCTTAATTAATTATTTAATTAAGAATACTCACATTATAGAGGCTGGGTGTGCCCCAATCCACTATCAATCCAAAACTGATGAAACACAAATAATTTCTTGCCACAGCAGGGGTTCTGGAGGTTAGTGCACAGTGCCTAACTCACTGAGCTGCTCTGCTCCCCACATCTGGTAAGCTTAACTTAAACTAAAAGTGGTTCATGAATTGTTCCTAATTGATTTATTTTTCTGACAAAGACAGTTTACAGTCAGTGGGTCACCGATTTCAAACAATTTATTTTGGTGATACTGCATCAAAAAATATTAGACACATGTCCTGATGTTCATTCCAATGGGCCAATGTGTCGCAATGTTCATTCTAGGGGCAAGAAAAAAATATTTTATATAATTTTAAACAAAATTTATTATTACTTTCCGTTGTCCGAATTTTTTTTTTTTTTATTATGTATCAATCAATTTCTTTATTCTGCAGAATAAGAAAAAAATATTGACTATGGTATTAAATGAGTTGTAATATGTTATAAATTACAAAAATCAAAGGATGCTTCAAGTAAAGTAGGCCAAGTAAATTTTTGTTCTGAAAAACCAAGTTAGATCTGTTTTTAGAGTCTTTAAAGAATCTTAAATACGAATTTTTTTATAGAAATAAAAAAATATGAGTACTTGATTTTCTTAGAGGATTTTTTTTTTTTTTTTTTTGGGTGTTGACTAAAGCACTCAGAATTTCTCAGGATTTTCTCCAAATTCAACATTAGTAAAACCTTTGGGAAGCCGAGTTACTGCTCTTCCAATCCACATCAATAACTTTTAAATTCTATTCCTTTTCACACTAGAAATGAAGGAAAATTTCTCAAACATTTTATAATTCTTGATGCTAATTTCTATATGGAGGTCGATGTTGTTCCAGTTCTTGTAGTATATAGAGCCCTACATACCTAATATATTTTGTGTGAATCAGTGACTCCACTGAAGGAACAATTTGGACCTACTAATGTAGCAGTGAGCCGGTAATTATTTTTTGGGGGAGAAACAAAGTTAATATTCGTTTTTAACACTTCAGAAAACCCTTACATACAAATTTTTATGACAATTGAAAAATTTAATTTTTCTGCAAAAAATTTTTGTCTAGGTTGGACCATTCAAATTCTAATTTAAATTCCAAAATTTATTGTAATTCAGTTTTCCAACTGTTGTATTAATGTTGAATTTGGAGAAAATCCTGAGAAGTTCTGAATGCTTTAGTTAACAACCGGAAAAAAATCTTCCTTGAAAATGAAGTACTCAAAATCATAATTTTATATTTGTATAAAAACTCATGTATAAGTTTCTTTAAGTACACTAAAAACGAATCTAACTTGCTTTTTCAGAACAAATACTTACTTGGCCTACTTTACTGGAAACATTTTTTGATTTTTGTATTTTATGACACATTATAACTCATTTAATACCATAGTGAATATTTTTTCTTATTCTGCAGAAAAAAAGAAATTAATTGATTAATTAATTGACTAATAACCAAAAAAATCAGGGCAAAGGAAAGTAATAATAAATTTTGTTTTAAATTTTATAAAACATTTTTTTCTCGGCTTCTAGGGCCCATTGGAATGAAAATTGGTACATATGTCTAATTTTTTTTTATGTAGTATCACCGAAATAAATTGGTTGAAATCGGTGACCCACTGATTGTAAACTCTCCTTGTGAGTTAATCTATTTTGTTTTTTTAGTTAAATTGCCAATATATCTTAGATTTCTTTCTAATCCTAGGAGCCCCTCTTATATTCATTTATAATATCTTTATTCAAACATTTTAATTACTAATGTAGTATTGGGTTGGCAAATAAGTCCTTTCGGTTTTTCAGGGTGAAATAAAACTGAATGTATTATAGACATAAAAGTTATTTTAATCTACAATATATTGACCATTATTTAATATGACTTTTTCCCATCTTTCCACTAACTGCATAATGCCATGTTCATAGAATGTCTGGAGTTTATTGTTAAAAAACTGATCCAAGTAGTTTTTGATGTCCTCTTCCTTTTGGAATTTCTTTCTATTCATGGAGTTCTGCAGAGACCGGAATAAGTGGTAGTCACTTGGAGCTAGTCTGGTGAATAGGGAGGGTGGGGCAAAAGGTCCCATCCAAGGCTCAATAATTTATTGCGAGTGACCAATGAGGCATGGGGCCTAGTGTTGTCTTGGTGGAACACAACACCCTTCCGATTTCCCAGTTCTGGGCATTTATTGAAATTGATTGATCCAATTTTGTTAATGGTGAGCAGTATAGAGTTAAATCAATTGTTTGTCCTGATGGCAGTAGCTCATAGCAAATAACATCCTTGAAATCCCACCATATGGAAAGCGTTATCTTCTTTGGATGCAATTCAGGTTTTGGCATTTTCTACAGACTACATTAACGTAAAATATCTATTTTTCATCTCCTGTTACCAACCTTTTCAAAAATGGATCGTTTTGTTGCCGTTTCCATAGTGAATCACAACCAGAAATGCGTGTTGCCAAGTTGACGCATTTTGGCAAACCAATTTTGACAGTTGTGTTCGGTTAAGGCATCATCCCTATAAACAGTCAAATTTTTCTATAAGCTTCTGCTGCATGCTTACCTTTTTTAAAATAATTCAACAAAATATGCCGATAATGAACGATAGTGACAGAAAAACTGAAAGAACTTATTTGCAAACTTAATACTTATTTCCAAATCCTGATAGAGACATAATTTTCTATTGCATTCTTGGTTTTGAGAAATTCGAATACCTCTTAAAAATAATAAAGTACCATAATAAAAAAAAAATATATATATTATATATATATATATATATATATAAAATAAAAGGGGACAATACCAAAACACGAAAGAAATAAGAGTAGGGTATATATTAGGATGAATAAAATATAGAGATGTATAAAGGACTTTTTTTAAAAATTCGTTTATTGAAAAACAAAACTTGTGCCACTAACAACCCATGAAGAGTTTTGGGTTCAGTACAATGTGAGGAAGTACTGTTACAAGACCAACAGTTGTATAGCGAGATGATGGACCAGTATCACGCTCAACTGCCAGGTTTTCCCCCTTAACTAATTATTTAATTAAGAGTACCCACTTTATAGAGACTGGGTTTGCCCCGGGAGGGTCTCCCGGCCCCAGGGTCGACTCACGGCTGATCAAAAATTAATAGTCATTAGCTGGATTCAAACTTGAGACCTTGAGCTCTGGAAGTCAGAGCTCACCCACTGAGCTACCACGCTCCCATTGAAAAACAAATATAATTATAATTCATTTTTGCACCTAGTTTTCCTCTTTAGAAATATGTTTTCCCAGCTAGAAGGAAGGTGTTTTGTTGCTGAATTGTGATGCTAGTTGTGTCAAGGGCTAATTGCACATAAACCCCTCTATGCTCTCATCATGCTCAAGTTGCTGTCCTTCAGCTATTTAACCGGTCCTTACTAATGGAAATTAGGGTTATAGGTCCGGGCTGGAAGGAGAATGATCAAGTTGAGTCCGGGGCATTTCCAGTAGATCGGAGGCTGTTAGAGGTTTAGTAAGCTTGTTTAACTGGGATCCAAGATAACTATAATTTCTCACCTGCTGTATTCCATTCCATTAAGCCTTTCTAGCAATTAAGCCATTCTATCTGCCCATTGTTTTTCTTTCATATCCTCTTAAATTTGGGTTTGTCTGGTTTGATTACCGTGTTTATTTTCTTGTAGGAAATGGAGGTTAAATTGGAGATAACTACCATCATTCTCCAATACGACCAAGTCATCAAAAACAGTAATACTGTGTATAGTACTGCAGTCTTCTGAATGATGAAACAGTCAAATATTTAGTATGGATAATTATTAAAAGGATAATTATGAAAAGGAGGGACATTAAACTGCAACTTTGTCTAATGCTTTTATTGGTTGAAAATTGTTTAAAAGTTTGATTATATGTCTTACTTCGTTTCTATATCTGTTATATGGGCATAGAATAGGGATGCTCTTTTCCTTTTACCCCCAGTCTATTCTGACATCTTAAATCTATTGAAAGTTTAAGACAAGTTGATGAAATAAGCATGTACATCACTGTTCTTTATGATGGTTTCTTTCTCAGAAATCTGTCTCAATATGAATATCAGGTCTTGACAGCTTTTATTTTGCTTAAATCCGTATGTTGTCCGAGAGCGATTCCATGGCTGTTCTAAGGATGTTCCTTTTGATACACCTATGCTGTTTCAGCTTATATGTATTTCTTTACTACCACCTTGGAATGTAACCCCGGTGAACGATTTATGTTTTCACATTCATCTACCTCCTTCTATTGTGTTTATAAGAAAAACACTTTTTTTTTTTGTAGCTGTTTTGTTGTTGGGTCTATAGCTGATCTTGATGAGCCTGTTGACCACTTTTCAGTTCTTGATAAGGTAGCTCAAGTTTCCATGGCTGATGATACATTATTTTTTGGCAATCTCATCCTCACTCAAACCAGAATGCAGTAATATATGATTTTATTTCTCTTTACATTTCTTCTTTGTTTCTGTGACTTCCAGAATCATACAAATCTAGCATTCCTCATTTTCTTTACTAGTGCCAGTTGCTTCCTATTTAGACCTTTGAAATTCCAAGCCAATTAATCTGTTTTCCACACGTGTCTTATGGTTAAACACCAATGGGTCTTATTCTTTTCTGAACTTATTCTATAATGAGTCTTAGATGGGCAGGATATGGGTCTTCCACCCCAGATCCTGATGGAGGGGTTGCCTCCTTAAAGTTATCAGGCCAATTTTCCTTTGCTTCACTGCATGGACCTTAAAAAGTTAGTTACTGATTTGAGACTCCTTCAGACTGCAGTGGTCCCTCTCTCCTTTCCTTACTGGGTTTGGGACCAGCTATGGCAAAGTTTGATTACTAATTACAATCTTAGTATAGCATGTGATAAAGTATATTGACTTTTTATTTTCTTTTACAGGTGAGGAAGTGTGTGATGCTTTTGAAAAAAACTCACATGTTATGAGAGGTGATGATAATGTCAGTGAAGACTCTGGCTTTTGTATGAACTCAGTTTGTCAAACACAATCACCTTGTGATGTCAGTCCCTTATCTTCTTCTTATTTTAAGGGTAATGAATGCATGGGCATTGAAAACCAAGGCAATATTGTGGACAGTTCGCCAAAAGAAACAGAAAGTTCTAAATCTGAAGATTTAAAATTAAATGATTCTTGCTTTGATCATTCTTCATTTACTCAGGAATTTGAAACCTTTCAAAATGAGGAAATTTATATCGAATCTTCTGATCCAGTTGAATCTTCTGATCCAGTGGTGGAGCCTGAATTTAGTAAAAATAAAATATCATTTGAAAATCAAATATCCAATTCCAAAAGCAATCTTAATGGAATAGAAGAGGTTAATTTTGTTGATGATAATGCTGTTCATATTGTTGCTGATACAACAGTTAATGAAGACATTTTACTAAATGATAATTACAGTCAAGTTACAAATGACAGTAGTTTCCAAGCATCTTTAAAAAGCAATGAAACAGATTGGTTTCAAAGCTCTTGTGAAGAGGTTAATGTTGATGATACTTGTTCAACAAATGAACATTCCAAATTAACAAATAAACGCCTTGAACTCCATGAAGAAGGTACTTCTCATATTCAAGGTACTGTAAATGATGTACAATTTCCTGAATTTCTTACTTCAACTTGTTCTGATAAGAGTACTAAGTATTTCCCTAATGAAAATGCTTATGAAGAAAACATTGAACTTGTAGACCATTGGGGTTCAGAAGATGATGATTTCTCTGATTTCACTAGCTTTCAGGTGGTTGAGTCAGTTTCTGAAATACCTTTTAGCAAATTTGAGGTAATAAACTAAAAATGATAAAATTTTACCATAATGTTCTTATGAATTATGCCACATTATGTTGTTTTTTGTGTTTGGTGTGTTTTAGTGTGATGGAAAAATTAAAATAAATTTGTAAATTTTCAGTAAACATATTATTGACTGTATTTCTAAAATAGGAAGAAGTTTATGGTCAGAGGAATTTATACTGGTGATGATTAAAGTATTGATATATTGAGCTATACACTTTAAATTTTATTATGAACCCATGGAAATCTTCAGTGTTATTCTATAAGATCCAAATTGAATTTTAAAACTAATTAAGAACTAATCTCCTCCTGTTCTAATTTGGATTATAGGAGGACTCCTAATAATCTATAATTTTACTAACTTCAAAATAAATCTAATTGATCATCTAATTTCTTATTTCACAATCTCTTTTTTATGTGGGTAGTGACTGTGAAACTTTCCTATCTCATTATGTCTGGATATTCCTGGTTCATTAAAAATTGTGGTTAGCCAGCTTTGGAAGGAGTAAACAATGTTAAAGTTAAACAAATAAAGAGCCTTTTAATTTAAAGTAAATTTTAATTATGTTAAAATTAATTTAAAATGTTACCCCTAGACTTGCATTTAAAATTTGTGAATGTTATTTTTAAAATTATGTTAAACATAACCTAGCATCCATCAATTTTCTTTCAACTTACATATTTTCAAAAAACCCAAAAATTTCATCTGTAAGATAGCAACAGGTACAGTGCAAATATTTGTTAATGTGATTTTATTAGGAATTGTGCTTTTGAGCTTTTCTAGCATTCTTGACACCGGGCTTGTTTAGAAATTTATATCTAAAATGTTATTTAAAAAATTAAATCTTTGTCTTAAGTATGAAATAAAAATTGAACCGAAAATCTTGTTCATGAAATAAAAACTATAATGTTTATTTCGTTTTATGAATAATTTTAGTTTTACTCTTACAGACTTTTGCAATGTGGCTGTTTATATGGTATGCTTTACAAAAAATTTTCCAATCTATTTAAAGATTAAAAAATAGTTTTATATATTTGTGAAACTATATGGAATGCTTTTTCTTGCTTTTTTTTTTTTTTTTTTTTTTTTTTTTTTGTTGGCTTTAAGCACGTCGACCCCTTTGGGTCCATTGTGCGCCAATATTCGCTAGGTCGTCTTATTCAAAACGTTAGTCCTGTCGCTTCCGCATATCTCAGTAGGCTGGTTGGGTTAACCGACTCAAATCTACTGGGGAGATCCATCTGTTCCTCCCCAAATAACGCCAGTCTCAGCCTTATAAACTTGTCACATCTGCATATGATGTGAAAAGCTGTTTCATTCTCCTCCTGACAGAATCTGCATATCGGATTCGTCATTACTCGGAGATTGAACATATGATTATTTAACTTACAGTGACCTGTGTAGATCGCTGTGAGTTTTTTAAGAGCTACTCTGTCCATGTTCAGTAGCTGTTCACTTCTTTTTTTACATGGGCCTTTAAGGAACAGCTTCGAGTGTCTCTGTTTCTTATCGGTCCAGTAATTCCTAAATTTGTTCCCATAGATCCTGCCCTAGGCAGTACTCAGGCTGATTCCACAGACAGGCTCGGGAGTTATAGGAATAGTATCTGAGCCCAACCTGGCTTTTCTTGCTTTAAAGTTACAGAAACCTCCTTTTCCAGAAATATATTTTTTAAGCATTTACTGGAGATTTATACTTACTTTACCATTCAATATCTTATTAATTGTAAGTCTTTTTTTTTTTTTCCTATTTGGGATATTTTTGTCCTGTTTTTTATTTTTTGACCTTATTAGATGTATATTTTTCACGTTTTTTTTTTAAATATAATTTTTAAACTTTTGTTTATCTTGAAAGAATTGTTTAGTCATTGGTCTTTAATCATTTCTTTCACTAACCTAATTACTTGGAGCTAACAGACTGACTTGGCATTATTTTTCTATCTTAGATAATCATGCTTAACTTTTATTCTTATTGGAGCTGAGTGATCTCTGGTTCATTCAAGTGCAAATATATAAGACTATGAAAAGACGAAAGCTTACTTATGATTCTAAAAGTTAAACATCTGGCTTTCAGGAGGCTCTTTTCTTGAAATTATAATATTAAGGAGAATTTACAGTCCAATTTATATCGATAGAACCTGGAGGACATGCATAAATGGTGAACTAGCAGGACTCTACAGGCATCCAGATATAATGATAATAAAAATGGGGCCTCTTTATTGGGTTAGATATAAAATTAGAATGACCACATATCAGAATTCCAAGAGAATCCTTGATGGAAGGGTTCATGGTACAATGAAAGTGGAAAGACCTTGGTTTGTGGAAGTTCTTCATCTTAGGATCCCAAGCTGGAGAATGGTAGCAACTAGTTAGAAGGATTGGCAGACTAAACTTGTCTCTTCAAGAGTTGTAGCACCATGAATGATAGTAAAATTGTTTATCTAGACAAAAATGTTAACTTCTAAAACAGGATAAATCCAGTTGCTTTTAGGGTTTAGTTGCAATCTGCAATCATAGATTTGTATACTGCGCATTTATTAATTGAGGTATTAGCAGAAAATTCAAGTAAATTATACATATTTACTTTTGTTTATTCAAATAGGGTAAGATACTGTACGAATGACAAGAAATATTTATAATATCTCTTGAGATTAAGAAAATAACTTCGAAAAATGTGTTGATGACTTCATGCTAAGACAAGATTGATGAGATTATTCAGAAAAAAAGATTAAAAAAGTATATATCTATTTCCGTGGGTCTTGGCCTCCTCAATAAGCCTCCGCCATTCAGTTCTGTCTTGTACTGCCACCTTCCATTTTGTGATCCTTAGGAGGTTTTTTTTTGTGTCTGCTGCCACTCTGTCAGTCCACCTTAACCTTGGTCTTCCAGCTCTTCTGGTACTATGAAGAAACTCTTCAGATAAAGTCTATTAAAAGTAAAAAAATATATATATTGAATTTATTTTGAAACATATGAAGTTATCTCTGAATTCCTTTTAGAAAATGCTCTGAACTTACATTAAATAAAAATGACATGTGAATCTGATCTTGAAACTTAGCCTTACACATAGTTACTTATATCATTGCCTTATATATAATTGTCAAAGACCAGATTTATATTCAGGTAAAAACCCTAAAATAAGCAGTTATTTTATTTAGTGTTGATATATTTTGAAAAAAACAGTAAAAATAAAAAAAATGTTTAATTTGGTAATCATTATAAATAATTAGTTGTAAAGAAAAGTAAGAAAAAAATAAGTTAAATATCATCTATTTTGTGTACAATTAGTAATTACGTATTACAAATAAACTATTCTAATTTTTTTTTGTCTAAAAAGAAATTGCCCATAAAGAAAATGAAAATGATTAGTAAAGATTTTCTTGAAATATAATTAGAAGATTCTAAAACAAAACTTTGAGTTCCAATAACTGACCAATCTATGATTTGTCAAGGCATTATTAGAACTAAAAAAAAAAAAAGAAAATGCATATGCAGACCAGAGAGAGTACATCACTGACAGAAGCAATAGTTACTGAAGACAATTCAACATATCCTCTGGTAAATGGGAGGTAAAATTAGCACAGCTGAGCTGATAAAGGTTAATAACCTTATAAATGGTGAAAAAGTGAATCCGAAACTATTCTAATTAATTCTTTCCTAAGTATTTGTATTATTTTGTCTTCATTAATTATATCTCATCGGTCAGTTTTCTGTTGCTATTCCCCCCTGCCATTTAATCTTAAATTAAAATTTCTTGCAATGACAGTACACATAATTTCTCTTAAAAATATATATATTTTTCTGAATACTCAAATGTATTCATTTATCTCCATGTTTAAAAAAAATTGTTTAATTGAATCTGAATGTTTGGTGAGGATAGATATTTAGACAGCTACTAAAATAAAGCTGTTTAGTTATACATTGTCCCGAAATTGGAAGGAAATATTTATAGGAGTGATATCAAGAGCTACAAAAAAATTTATATTAACATTGGTCCGATTTTTTGCAGAAAATTAAAATTTTTGTTTTTTTAAGCAAGTCATGTTTGTTGTTGAATAGGTTGACTAACAAAACTAACTATAACTAAAAAATATTTAATTTAAATAATTAACAATTCCTTCTCAGTAAGACAAAATTTATTTCTAACAAAAATAGAATTTGTCATTGTTAAAAGCATTGCTTTAAATATTTAATATTCATGTTTGAAATAAAGAAACGTGTTGATTTCTTAAATTATTTTCATAAAAATGTAAATATTAGGATCAGAAAAATTAATTTATACGAATAAATATGGATCAATTACTATAATGGAGATCTTGGTGAAAATAGAGGTACTTTTAGGTAGCAGAATTTAAAATCTAATTTTTTTACATAACTTGAGGTGAATCTCAATATTTTCCCTCATCTTGTCTCTTTTATAGTTGTTTTTACTTTCACTTACCTATATATATATAATATATAGTAAAGATAAGTATTGAGATCGGCTACATTTTTGAGTCTGAGTTTTCAACTGAAATACACGTTTTGAGGTCCCCTGAGTCCAGATAACCAAGTCCCGCAAAATGGTCCGTGTGTTCGTGAACAGCATAGCTCAAAAACAAAAAGTCGTACAAAACTGATATTTTGTTTGTATATGCCTGGGATGTTGCAGCAACTTCTTGTCAAAATCAGCAAACTTGTGAAATGGTACTTCATATCATCGATTTGACAAATTTTTACAATTTTCTCAAAAAAGACTAATGATTATAATTAAACTCACTCGGTTAGTGTATTATTAAGTGGTTTTTAATTTAAGGTAGGTTTTATTCTCATAGATGCAACCTGACAGGGCTTAAAAGCTGATTTTTTCAAAATGTCTTCCTCTAAAGTATCTTTAATTTTTTTTTATTTGAAATAATTAACCATTTCACATTTGAATCTGCTATAAAAATGGTTAAATATAGTGAATGAAGAAAATTGATCGGTAACTAAAGGGGAAATGAGGATAGGAAGCTCGGCTGTTTAGCCATGAGCGCCCGACCTTTGCCGATCCTCTTCCTTTACAGATACTCCTTTGTATATGGCTTTCATATTGTTAGTGTAACTTTTATGTATCACTTATCCATAATTTTTTAAAAAGGTTTTCATGTGAAATGTTGAGGATTTACTAATATAAATCTAATAATGTGCAATATTAACTAACATTAAGTTTATTTTTTCGATGAGTTTCTTGATAAATGTTTCTGATAAAAATCAGAATTTTTCCAAGAGACCCATTTTCCCCATAATCGTTAATATTGTACACAGTCGTAAAAGGAAATGAAAAGTGATGCAGATGTATAAATTTAAATTATTCGATAGGTGAGAAAAACATAGTAAACAATTATTTTAAATGAAGTTAAACCGTCATATTCACTTCAAATTCATGTAAAAAAATACCTATCTATTCTAAGGTTGGTAAGTGAAAGTTGTGTCATGTGCATACTGCACCAGATTTTTTATTTTAACACCCATGCATCTCTATGATACTCAAATGTAAAATTATTGGTCACTGAAAAGTTTTGTATTTTATAATCTGTGCCAAATAAATTGTTATACTTGTTCTAGAAGATCAAATCAAAATGATCATTATTGTTCCCTTTTTATAGTAGGTTTCGGAAACAAAGATAATTGTGATTAAAGATAATGCACAATAATACTATATATAAGTAATATTGTGGTATAAAATATTTTATTTAATGAATCAGTAATTTTTTTTTTTTTGCTATTAATTGTTTTATATGTATAAAAAATATTTATATAAAATATCAAAAACCTTTTTTATAGTTTCAATTTGGAGACAATGAAACATTCCCAAATGAAGCCACAGAACATTTTTATGAAACACTTCAATCATCCATAGAAAGGAACAGTCTGTGGAATAGTTTAAAATTGTTTGAGGAAACTCATGCTTTCAAATATCAATGGTCGACTTCTTGTACTCAGATGAAGTTTTTACAAGCTCTACACATTGATTCTAGGAATATTGTAAGTATCTTTTATTTAAAATATTTTTAAAACATATCAGCTTCTTGATGATAATACTCATTATGAAACACTACACTATTCTGTTGGAGTAGTATTCATTGCAAGTGTCTATGCCTAAAACTTTTGGGATTTGGATGTCAGAGGGCAGGGTTTTACAGGAACTCTGTACCCTTTATTTTTCAATTACGCTAGATTACCGGTTGAGTTTTATAAATATGCACCAATAAATTTTTTGGAGTGCGTGTTGAATACATTTAATAAATTTTCTAGTCACATCCTTCGGGTTTGGTGCCATTTTCTCGTAATTTATCATATGTCTATTTTAGACCAAAGGTCACCAAAAAAACACAGTTTTTTTATCTCTTGTATGCTTTATTCAATGTTTCGGCTTCAAGAGCCATTTTCAAGAACCTGCAAAACTAATTTTAATTTATTTTTTACCATTCAAATACAGTCTCAGACACATATTATTAAACAACCACAAGTAATACATTTAGTTTACAATTTTTTTTTTTTAATTTTAATTTATTATTTATATATTACAATGTTTAGAAACGGAAAACGAGATTCTTTGAAATAAAAGAATGAATTAAGGACGAATCATATCGCAATGATAAATTTTAAAAATTTTATGGCGCGCTGCATGGTAGGTGGATGATATAAGTTTATTCAAAATTAAAAAAAAAAAAAAAAAAAAAAATTAAACTAAATGTATTATTTGTGGTTGTTAAATAATATGTGTCTGAGACTGTATTTGAATGGTAAAAAATAAATTAAAATTAGTTTTGCAGGTTCTTGAAAATGGCTCCTGAAGCCGAAACGTTGAATAAAGCATACAGGTGACAAAAAAAACTGTGTTTGACATATGATAAATTACATATGATAAATTACATGTGACATATGATAAATTACATTTAATAAACTTTTTAATTCAGCTAAGATGCCAAATAGTTTCAAAAGTTCAATTATATTCCCCATATATAAAGCAGGTAATACTAATAACATTACAAATTATAGGGGCATAACATCCAACAACTCGATTGAGAAAATTTTTACAGGGCTGATAAACCTAAGATTAATAAACTGGGCAAATGAATTTAATATAATAAGTGAATGCCAGGCAGGTTTCCGTAAAAATTGCTCAACCATTGATAATATATTTAATCTCGTAAGTTTGAATTTAAGTATTAAAAGGAGGAAAGTCTATGCATTTTTTGTAGATTTTTCATCAGCATTTGACAATGTGGACAGAAACACACTTTTTCATAAACTATATGAAGTAGGAGTTTCCTCAAAGATTATAAATTTAATAAAAGCATTGTATGATGATACTGAAGGCTCAATATGGATAGGTAATGCATTAACAAACAGTTTTAAAACAGAAAGAGGACTAAAACAGGGATGTATTATGAGTCCATTTTTATTTTCCTGCTGTATCAATGATTTAGAGAATTGTTTGGGGGGTGGATAATCTATTAATAACAAAAGAATTAAAATGCTGGCATATGCAGATGATATCGTAATTTTGGCCACAAGCCGTATTGTACTTCAAGACATTATAAATAATTTGGAAATAAGGCAATGAGGCAAAGGAGACAAAAATTAAATAATACTGTTTGTTTAATTTAGTATTTATTTGACCACACCCCCCGATCAACTCCTCAAATTTGGAAATATGTTATAATACCTGGAATTTAAATAAATCTAAAATTATGATATTTAGAAAAGGTGGTAAACTGACAAAAAATGAAAATTGGAAATTTAATAAACAAACTATAATAATAATAATAATAATAAGGCTTAGCGAACCCGAAGGTTCGATGCCGACACCACCAATCGCTTGTTACACACCTCCCTCCACCGTTTGCCGTCCAAACCCAGTCCCTTCAGATCGGCTTTAATGCAATCTTCCCACCTTCGCTTCGGTCTACCCCTCGGACGCTTACCATTCGGCACAGCAAATATTAACCTTTTAGGAATTCTCTCGTTACTAAGCCCAACAACTTTACAGCCCATTTGATTCGCCGCGATGAAATTACCTCAATTATATTACCCGGATACAGCTCACGCAATTCGGCGTTGTGTAACCGTCTGAACTCTCCGGTTAACTCATCCTTCTTCGGTCCGAATATTCTACGCAATACTTTATTTTCAAAAACCTTAAGACGCTGCTCATCCCTTAATGTAAGCGGCCAAGTTTCGCATCCATAAAGAACTGTAGGCAAGATAATTGTTTTATAGATTCTAATTTTTAAGTTTCGGGACAAGAGGCGCGAACTAAGTAGTTTTGTCACAGAAAAATAACAATCATTCCCCGCCTTCAGTCTAACCTTAATCTCTTCTTCAATTTCGTTTTTTATAGTTATCGTAGAACATAGATACCTAAATTTATCTACCTGTTCAAACATATTACCATCTATATCGATATCACCAGTAGTATCGCCATTTTTGCAGCTAACCATATATTTTGTTTTATCCACGTTTATTTCGAGTCCTAGTTCTTTACCGGCTTTCATTAACGTTGTCGTATTTAGTTTTATAGTTTCAACGTCTTCGCTTAACTGTACCAGATCATCAGCATAGCCCAGCACGGATGTTGTCCCGCCCAGATCCAACCCTTTCTCGGTTCGCATTACCTCCCTAATGGCTTATGATATTATTAACGCCAAATTTATCAATGAGTAAGTATTTTCATCAAAAAGTCTCTAAAACAATGATTAGTATTGATGTATTATGGAAGAAGCTATTTACTTATAATAAAATAAATTTGAATACAAAACTTAAAGTTTTCAAAGCTGCAGTTAGATCAATTATAGGTTATGGTGCACAGGTGTGGGGAGCTTGTGAATATAAAGAAGTGAAAAATTTCAGTACTATTTTATTTAAAAAATATTAAATTTATCCAGATATACACTTGCATATATTATTCATATAGAAATGCAATTAACTCTGTTGTATCTAGAAAATATAAAAGCTCACCATAATTATATATGTAGAGTTATGCAGAACTCGGATAATAGGTTACCCAACATAATAGCAAAATAAATAATTAAAAAAGAAATAGGCTGGTATAAAGAGTTTAACAAATCAATACCAAATAAATTTTGATTATAATAACACAAATAAATGAAATGTGCCTTTTCAGAAAGTAAGAGATAAACTGACAATAGAATTAGAAAATAGGTTCAAAACCCTTGCCAAAAATTCAAATAGAGCGAATATATACAAAGACTTGAATCATGATATATCAGGAAACAATTATTATATAACAATAAGAAATACAATGAAACAATAATAAAATGGATATTTAAGGCCAGAGGAGAATTAATAAATTTAAACTGTAGGGTATATTATGAAAAAAATAATAAATTATGTTCATTATGTAATATGACTGAAATATAAAATATCGTGCATTTCCTTGGTGTATGTCCTGTTCTGGCAGAACTTAGAAGAAGATATTTTGGAAAAGATAGCCTGACATTTGGGGAAATAATTGCACATTTGAACGGAATAAATTGGTTACATCTATCCTTTTATTGTAAAGGAGCCTAGAAATACAGATATGCCTTATGCCAAGAATTTAATTATTAACTGATGAATAATGTTTAAGCCGAAAAAATTATTTATGTTATTACATTAAAATATCTATATTAAAAATTTGTATGTATTTATGTAGTCAAATTTTATTGTGTATTTATAATTGTGATATTAAGATTTGATATATTTTGTCTCTCTATTTATTAGCATTTACATTCTATTTATTAACATTAACATAGTAGGTTTTATTGAATATTTAATAGTTGACCGTTAAAGGAAGGAGATGGTCCGGGGTTGCGGTCATAAAAAGGCTAAATAGTGGTAAAACTATTTTATTGAAAGCCAACGTTTCGACCCGACTTTGCAGGTCTTCATCAGGGCTAGAACGGACAAGATACAAAAAGATAGAGAATTGTGGCAATTACATAATATTTAGACATAACTTATAAACAATGTGAATAAGCTTATTAGAATTATAAACAGTAAGTAAAATAAAATATGGACTAAGTAAGCTGAGTAACAAGATCCTAAAATAAAGTAAATAGATGCTAACAATTGTTGTAGTGTAATATATAACAAATGAAAATGTGAGTATAATTCTACAAAATCTACAGGAGAAAAAAATAGAGACTTACAGGTGTGTTCCTCTAGGAGTTTCACTTAGAACTGGAAAGGCAGCGGTAAGGATTGCAGGTATAGGGGGAGTTAACATGTGTTAGTTAACTAAGTAAACATTGAAAAACCCAGGAATGTACAGTACCTAGGAATTTTTGAAGATATGGATGGATACAATGGAAAAATACAATAAAATATACATATAAAATAGAGTTGAGAGATGTGAGAGGTATTTAATGATTCTAGATCAGAGTACAATGTGAATAAACCCAAAATTGGTAAAAAGTAAAATGTAAATATAGAAATAACTTCATTAGCAAACATACATTGCAGAGCCAACCTAAAAGTATAGAGAGGGAAGAAAAAAAAAAAAAAAAAAAAAAAAAAAAAAAAGGGTGGTCATACATTGGTGTAGAGTGTAAATGTAAATTTAGAATAAAATAGAAGAGAGATCATACAAAGAAGGAATATTTAGAATAATGAACAATTAAATGAATTAATTAATAAAAATTGAGAGTTGATGAAAATAATAGAATAGAATATTTAAGTTATTTTTCCCTTATAAGACTTAAAATGTGTCTATATGTAAGAGAAATACAGTTTTTGTCTACTTTGTGATTAACGGGATTGTGTTCCATGTGAATGTGGATAGATTCGGAAATAAGTCTTTTTTCATGGTTAGGGACCGTGGAAAGGATAGAGGTTTTTTCAAAATCAAATAAGTGGTTGAGTGTTAAAGAATGTTCTGATAGTTTGGAGGCGGAAGGATTCCGGGAAGTTATGGACGTTTTATGTTGGGAAATGCGGGTTTTGTGATAGTTTTTGGTTTCACCAATATAGGAGCTATT